TCCTCCCACCCCGCCTGTGCTCCGTGTTACACTACAGACTGTAAGCTGCTAACACCGAGCAGACCAGAGAAAAAAACAACGTTGTACATGGACTCAGGACTACTGTCTTTAAAGAAACTCTCCGGACGGATCCCGCTCATGCTCGGTCCGTCCACTCCGTCGTCTCTTTGGTGGATTCATGTTTTTATATGAACAATGAAGCCGTTTCCTCTACTTTTTTCTTTTGCTGCACAATACACATCATAATAAACAAAACATCTGAAATACATTGTTACTGTCATGCAACAAAAAGAGGAGGATCTATTACATGACAGTACTGGACAGAAAACATGGGAGCGAGTTCAATAGTGTGCCGGGAAACACAGGTCGCAGTGGGAGGGGGGGTGGGGAGGAAATTACAATCAAGCAAACAGCACTTTGATACTCCCATGTATCCTCTTGGCAAAGTTTCCAGGCTGCCGAGAAAGATTTACAAACAGTTAAACTGTTATTAATGTCGCTCATAATCAGTTTGATATATTTGGCTATCCACAGTCTGGGGTTTAGACTCTGTAAATGTTATTTTGAGTATTATTTTTAAATGTTCTGTATCATAGGCAGAAGTCTTTTGTCATGATATATGTGACAGACGTGGCTGGCCATCATGTGTATACACTGTCCATACTGTACATGTCTTTTAAATTGTCTGCCAGATAAGTGTCATGTCTCATTTATGTGCACATTTTATTTCACTGGATTATAATGCTGCGTTCAGGGCACAGCTACAAATGTTTAGTTTCCATGGAAATGTAGTGCAGAGTTGAAACAAATCTCAATCAAATCTGTAAAAGGCAAATGCTACTTAAAGCGTTTAGAAAGGGCAAAACACCGCCAAGTTCAAAACACCGCCAAGTTCATTGTCATAAATAATATTTGGACGTTTTATGTTTTTCAAAATGTTCAGTGTTTCCAATCAGGTTGGCACAAATTAGACAATGGGACAGAAATAAACTTCAAAGAAGGATTAAATAATAGATACTATATAAATACAATCTCCAATGTGAGGATTTGTAGCTTCAGGTCTTACAGAAAAATAAATATCTTTAAGTGGCTTCAGTCACTTCAAAATAAGTAATTATTAGGAAAGACTATAAGGAGCATATTTTAATATCTTCTGACATCTGACAAAAAAAGTATGAATTTGTCATTCAGTAGTTGACACTTATAAATAGTCAATGGGACTACTTTCAGATGAATGTATTATCATTTGACTGTGTAACATTTCAAAAAGACATTAGGGTAGGTACATTAGGCATTTATTGCTTGAAAACTCACTGAATAAACGAATGCTTTTAACTCTGGGCTGGACTATTTTATCTAAGACATGAACGTGGCGTTGTACAATAAGGTGTGACCCACAGTGAGATCAGGTGAGTGATTGGAGCCCAGACGGTTAATAGTTGAATGTACTGCAGCTCCAGTCAGGTGGTAACTTCGGGCTAGAGACAAGTAAACCCTCTGAGTTGTATTTATGATGTGGATAAACATATCTTCTTGGTATTTAAGTAACTCAATTCTTCAATTATTTTTACATTTAAGTATTTGTTTCCATCGGTCTTAAAATGTTAAATTTTTTGAATTGTCATTGTACAAAGATCAAATGTTTGCCTGGTAATAAAATAAAATGACTTTGGCATGAACCTGCTTCCAGTGCACTGTTTCTTCTTTGATGCCAAACATTCATCATTGAAATGTTGTGCAGGCATTCCTGACCCTCTCGGAATGAATTCTAATGACTTTGGTTACTCCTTAAGATATCTTCTAACACCATCATGTAAAAAAAGAAATACTGTTTTTCCTTTTTTATTTTTATTTTACCAAATACCTGAAAAATCAATCGTGCTCCCATTAGCTGTACTCTGGCAAATGCCAATTAGCGAAGCTTGCTAACTTCAGAGGGTAAACATACCTGCAAAACATTAGCATCTGTTAGCAACAAGCTCAAAGCACCCCTGCTCTTATGTATGTGATGCAGAATCAGGCAAAAGGCAAACATAACTGATATCTTCTATAATAACTAATGTATTCGTTTTTTTGTATATAAATGATATACTTTAATCCTGTGTCAAATGTTTTGTGTCGAGCTTGATTTGATAACATCTGCAACATTAAACTAAACACATTTGAACATCACAATTTTAATCTAGTAACATCATGTATTTTATTTTGAAATTGGCCATTCTATTTCATGGTAATATCTCCAATTACTTTAGTCAAGTAAAGAATACGTAGACCACTGATGCTCAGACAGAACACAATTTATCTTTATTGTCTGAAATAAAACACCTTTATGGATTCTGTTAAAAATGTCCCAGAATAAAGTGAGTTCCTTTTATTTTTGACTCATAAGGACGTCACATGGAAAGGAGTGAGAAACAACAGCTGTTACCTCTGTTCGATGGTTTTCTAATTGTGACACAGTAGAGGACCCTTCAGTTACTCCTGCTCTTAAAAAGCTGAAACTATCAAGATGATTTGAGTCAACAATTTAGGCTTTGTTCTGGCCTTCAAAGTGAGTGATTAACAGTGAGTCATAGAGATTATCCTCCTTCCTTCCTTCTCACGGCCAGTCTTTACGTTTTTCTGGTCCCGTTCAGCCTCAGCTGCTTAACAAAATGTGGAAGTGATTTGTCATGAGGGTTAACACCATGAAACTCATGTTCTGTCACTCTGTCTGCTCTCTCCTGCGGCAGAAACATTTCAACCAGCAAGCTGTCATCAGTCATATCTTGTTATTTAGACATTATTTAGGACTGAGTCTGAGACATGAGGAAACTGAAGTTAAATCAAACATGGAAGAACAAGAAAAGACACATCATGGCATTGTTGGAAAGTCTTCTTGTGGATTGTTCAAACAAGCACATGGCTGCATGTTAGACTAAACGCCCAGATCCCCTTTCAAGACGGATGATGTCACTGCATATCATCCCCTGTGGATTCAGTCCAGTAAATCTGATCTGAGAGAGCAACAAGCAGAGACAGAGCCTCGCTGTAGAACAAACCACAGTCATTGTAAACAGCGCTGGTTTACAAGCTGCTTAGGTTGTGATTCAGAGCGAATCAGACTAACTCCCCTTTGCTCGGGCCTACATTCCTCAACTCCCTCCTCCTGCCTCGAAAACATCTTCAACATTTTCAGCGGTTTTGAAATATTTTCCCAGTTCTGCGTTGGAAGCAGTCTATGGTTGGAAGAACTAGGCTGTTCTGCACAGACTTCCAACCCGTCCAACCGAGTGGGGATGAACTGGACTGTGAGCCAGACCTGATCAGCAGCATCAGAGTTGGACCTCTCTAATGCTCTTTAGGATGAACGGGTTCAAACATGTGCTTATAAAGAATACAACTGGAGAGGGTGTGGGAGATCTGCTCACTTAGGAACATATGGAACAATTCAGCCTCTGTTATAGAGTGCTTCAGGGAGGATGTACTTTTGTAGGCAAACCGGTGGATCCATCCACAAAATCTACTGAGTATCCCATTCGGTTTGTTGCAGAAAACAAGCAAACATTTATGATGCATTCAATGTTTGCCCAAATGCAAAAAACAGAATTAGAGTAGGCAAAAGGAGGACTAGATTTTTCTCTGATGATGTTTTTTAGTCAAATGTTTCCCTTGTTAGCCAACACCTTTTTTAAGACGCATACTGTAGGAGCTTATCAATTCACAAGCAGGGCAACAACATTAACAACACTTTTGAGCTAGTGTTAACAAACCACAGAGCCTATTTCTGACATCTAACCAAAGCCTTTGACTTTGAGAAAAGGAATCTGCTGCTTCTTATGATGATATGGTTTGATCAAAACAGCTAAGATTTGTCCATAAAACACAAAGCAGAAAGATCTATAGACACTTTGTATAGCTGAGAACATGCATTATGACATTTAACATTAGACTACAGTCTGGAGTCTCTCTGCTTTGGACACAGCAGAGCTTTGGCTGAATAGAGCTGGTTGGATTGTTATTAGATTTGCAGATATTTAGTCAAATTATTGGATAAACTACATTTCCATGCCACTGTTCCGCTATTATTCCGAATATGACAAATTCCGAATTTGATACGGGTAATCTAAATGGCATAATCTGAGTCAGGCCTTTTTCCAAAGAGGCATTTTCCAAGTTAGACAAGTAGATTATGCCAAAGACTGAAAGATGCGTAACCATGAGAACGGCTTTATATTTCTGTTTAGAAGGGAAACCCCACTTACTACTTACTCACGCAGTATTTGTTTTAATGGGGTGATTTATGTTAACTGAAGTATTTACAGCTGCATTTAATCGGTAATGTAATTGAAAAGTAATTGTCATTAGCCATGTAATAAGAGGAATAGGAATATTGTGAACGTGTTTAAATAGCTACTGTGAGCTCTTGGTTTTGCTAGATGAAATGTTAAAGTCATTACGGTACATCCTGAGGGAAACACAAATGTCTAACCAAAAATGTAATGGCAATACATCCAATAATGGTCGAAACATTTTACAAAAAACCCCAAATGTGAACGCTAAGGGAAAAGTCAGAGGACCCCTAAAGTCAGTAGGAGTCATCCTCAGGGGAACATGAATGACTTTAATAATATTTCAGGCTCTTTTTGCTATTTCACTCAAAATGTTCTTAGTTTGTATCCCACGAGAACTCAGAGTTTGTTAGAATGGGAACAAACGACCCATCAGCCTTTGTGTCCAGCTGTTTAAGAAGCCTGAACAGGAAACCGAGATGATGGCAGCTCTCAGTCTGCCTCGCTTGTTCTCACTTGAGACCAAAATACATGAGTGAACTGCTAACCGACCTGTTTTCTGGGCTCATAAGAGACGCTCAGAGAAGCTCCCACAACAGGCTTCATTGAGAAAAATATAACTTTTCATCATTATGCAATCCACATAATAACCATACTTATATAAAGTGCACTTTATTTGTTGCGAAAATAAAGCTTTACATAGGAATTCATTCAAAATGATATTCACATTTACATGCAGTGTTTCCCCGAGGCCCTGTCACACACACCCTCGGGACTGGAGACAAACAAAGAAGCATGTAAGTGTTTCAGCCACACACAGGTCATCTGTGTGCCATTCACACATAAAGTTTTTAAGTACAGTGCAAAGTGATACACAAAGATGACTCTTGTAGAAGGCACAGACTGGCTTTAGATGCAGTTTAGGGACTGTATATACATAAGCAAAACTTCCCCCCTCATATCTCATAATAACACAACAGTGATTCAATTGTACAACAATTCTAGAATAAATAAAATAGCTCTGTTTGCAACCTATGATAGTGGCTTGAATCTAATTTAATTTACAATGTCTATTTGTTAAAAGTAACCCTCTTGGAAAATGGACAATAAATAATGTTGAAATGATATCGAAATGTACATAGCAAATTTTAAATGGTAAGGTAAGGCTATACACGTAAGCAGAGGTGGGAGGTGCCTACGTACATTTACTCAAGTACTGTACTTAAGTATCATTTTGATTTGTTTGTACTTTACTTGAGTATTTCCATTTAATGCTACTCCACTACAATTCAGAGATCAATCGTGTACTTTTACTCTTGTACTTTGCAGATCTGGATGAATGATGTGAAATATAATCAAGTGTTAAATCAGACTTTAGTTCCACCTGGAGTAAATTCACAAGCTACCCTATAGTATACAAAGTAATTCAAACTAGCTGCACCTTTACCAGCTTTGATAACACTTTAATGATCAATAATTATTAAACATATCATATATATTATTCTGAAATGGACCAATCTGCACAATGACTACTTTTACTTTTGGTACTATATTTTGATGCTAATGCTTTTGTACTTTGACTTGAGTAACATTCTGAATGCAGGATTTCCCTGGTACTTCTGAGTACTTCTCCCACCTCTGCATGTAAGACACAATTTAGATATTACGGAAATACGGAAATGTACCCTCATTGAATTCTACTTAAATACCCCTTACTTACATACAGTCCCTTGCACAGACATTCAATACATATTAATATACATTTTCAAATGAGCACCATTTTGCCCACGCTGTAGAGAGAACACAGGAAAACGTGAGCAGGAAAAACTTTTTTTGACAAACAACTGTACCGGCAGTTAAATAAATTGAGACTCTTTTTCCACCCCATAATCACTTTTCTACAGCCGCGTGGAGCTGTTGGTCATCAAAGACATTCTCAGTCGGTGAAGCCGCGGTCACTCACGCATCAAGACAAACGTTTTTGGAATCTGTGACTCACATATGACCCAAAAAGGATCGCTCTTTTTCCATATATACGACTATGCTGGATGTTTTTCTGCTTGAGACTTTCATGTGAGTCTGAATGTCTTTGGCTTCACTGGGGGCGGAGGAGGGGGGCTAGGCTTGACTCTGGCAGCAGGAGGGGGGCTAGGCTTGACTGGAGGTACAGGAGGAGGAGCTGGTTTGGCTGCATTCAACTGAAAAACAAACAAGATGACAGTTAGACAATCGTATATATATATGAAGTAGCCATGTATGGAGCTTTGTGGAAAACATGTTTCTGTGATTGTATTTGGACCCCAAAAAAGAAAGGTAGTCTTCGCCATTATTGTTAATGGCCAGCAACTGTACAATAATACTCAAATGATTCCCAGAGTAGTCACTCTCATGTTACAGTAGCATGAGAAGCAGGACATGGATAAAGAACTCATGTTAAAGAAGCTAAAACAAACACATGTTGGTTGTTACACTGATGAGCTTTGGCACTACTGAACAGTCTTTTTAAAGTGAACTCATCCTCTGCAGAGAGCCTGGTGAGAGCAACTGTAGGTGAGACTCACCTGAGGTTTACTCAGAGGAGGCAGAGATGGAGGTAGACATTTTGCCTGTGGTAAAGAAGAACATATGTGTTATTGTTTTATCTCCTTAAACACATAAACCCAGAGTTAACAACAGTTTAAGAATAAATGATGTACCAATCCCACAAAGACCGTACTAGTGCTGCTAATACTCACTACAGCACCAAATATTGATTACTTTTCTGCTGAAAATAGTCCCCAACAAATGCACAATACCCCCCTGATTGAGTGACGTTGGGTAAAGAGTACAGTTGGCCACCTTCTGAGAGTACTTCAAAAACTATTAAATATTTGTTAGCTGTTTTGAAAATAACTGTTCAGTAGGAATGTACACAGATCAACACAATGTTTGCTTTAGTCGTTTCGTGGGATTTGTTGACTCTAAGAAAATAATGCAGGTCTTTAAGCAGTTACACACCACATATGTCTCAGAGATTTCCATAGCTTAAATAAATTAGATGTAAGCAGCCGTCTTAAGACGCCAACCCTGAATATGATCTTTAGTTTGCATTATGCATTAGATCAAATAGCAAGCTGTTGTTTTTCTAATCTTACCGGCTCAGTTTGTGCTGTAGGAGAGACTGGAGACAGTTTCTTTGGTGGCTGGAAGAAAAAGGCAATTATTAACCATCACAGTACTTTGCATTGGCATAGCAACCTTTCCAAGCTATTTGACTGAAATGACACATGAGTTAATGATTTTTGAAAATGAGTTTCCATGAGTAATCCTTTTTGTAGCGGTGCTGTCTGTACCTGTGGAGCGGCTCTGCTGGGAGTCACGGTAACAACCAGAGGAGCGTAGGCTTGTGTTGCTGTTGACGCCATGAAAGTGGGCGCACTGATCTGAGGTCTGTCTTTAACACTCCCGTCCTGAAACATCGGGTTCAGCTTGTCTGGAGCAGAATTCACTTTCCTGTAAAAGAAACAAAATATATTTAACTGGAATGTGGAAGACGGAAACAGAGAAAACAGACAAGAGAACACATTTTAGGATGAATTACCTTTTGTAGGTGAAGTTGTCCGTGTTGTCCTTTTTACAACACATCAGCCCTGCAGTCACCGCGGTGATGGTCAGGAGGATGGAGAGAGCTGCACACACTCCGGCTATTATCCCACTCTGAACTGCAGGCAGGGATATCAAACTGTTACAGAGCCACATTGTACACAGTATCTCTGTTTACAGCTTTATGTGCAAAGTCATGTAGCCACAGTTTGACTGTTGTCAAAAAATGTAACATTTTGAGGGGTTAGAACGTGACTCTTTAAACCCTAATGATGTGAACAAATAACATTCTACAATTCAAAAAGGATCATGTTAAAACAAGGAAATTGTTATAATACTAAAGAGAGCAAATACGGAATTTCCTCTTGTGGTTTTGATAAAGTAGCTTCTTCAAAAAACGAGAAGGAAGCTGATATGTTGCTCAGAAAAACAGTAATTTCCAACAGTCTGACACCATTACTGTCATGTTGTCATATCATTGACTTATCACCTTACTTAGAATACAGGTTTAACAGGTTCTTTGTTCTGTTCTAGTCAGTGGCGACGCCAGGGGGGCTGAAGCACCCCCCAGGATAGCCATAGCACCTCCAATAAATGTGTCTTTTTTTTATGTGTGTGAAATTCATAATTTGAAAAAGGATTGATTTGAAAATAATATGCTACAGTACAAGTAGCCTACTTCTCTGGGTTTCTTTCAAGCTGTGTGTGTGTGTGTGTGTGTGTGTGTGTGTGTGTGTGTGTGTGTGTGTGTGTGTGTGTGTGTGTGTGTGTGTGTGTGTGTGGGTAGCCATTTTGAGCGAGCGAGCAAGAGCGCACCGGTACCGGAGATCGTTGTGGTTAGCATCTGGTGCTAGCTACGCTAACGGATATAAGCCAAAGGAGCTTTTTCAACAACAAGGTGGAGGGGGAACTCTCCTGTCAGTGAGAGTCCCAGATAACCTCAGCTCAGGTGAACTAAAGGACTCTCAGTGTTTAGATAGTTAACTTTAGTCTAAGTTATCAGTGGGTCTCAAAACGGTTTGGTCACGATTAATGTAAATAAGTATTTCTGAGGCACACGTTTATAAGATCATTGTAGGTATAAAAAAATAAGAGCATAAATGAAAAACAGTTATGAAATGTGAAGAAAGTGTGGCGCCAAGATATTTCAAAACTGATGACCGCAAAGTGTCCTTCCTTCCTATTCATTTCGTTTGTAGCTGTTAACTGTGAAGAATAAATGATTTCTTAACTAGTTTGCAAATGTGATGTTACATGTGAAAGGCAACTTCCTATAAGTTGATAAATGGAAAAGTGTGGCTTGAATGACAATTGTGACTCATAATAATAACTGAGGTCACCAAGATACATCAAGAACACTTAGGTCAGTTAGAAGAAATAGCAGATCTCTTATAATGAATCATTTATGTTTATAAGAATGATTCATGGAGCAGTTGAGACTTGTTTCTGTCTGAGCTGCTCAATGAGAGCTCACGGTTTAAACCAATATTACATTTTGTATTTAGCTGCTCACAAAATTGGACTTTGCATATATCTACTGTCAAAATATCAGATCCAGATAAGTGTCGTGTACCTTGAGGTAAATCTGCATACTGGATGTCACAGTAGGGTGGAGCCCAGCCAGGGTTACAGTGGCACTCGTTCTTGTGGTTACACACCTAAATATAAAATGCAAATACATTGATTAAAACACGAGTCAAGCCCCAGAGAAGTCCAATTTGAAAACAGCTGCAAGTGATTTTAAACCCAAAAATAACTCACTTACCCCCTTGTTGTTGCATTTCTTTGAACAGTCCTCCTTTTTCCCATAAACTGACATATCCACACATCTGTTGTCAAGGCAAACCTGCGCACAAATGTTTGATTCTGAGCAAAACATCCATCATAAGTCACAAAACTCCACGTAATGCGTCTCCCAACAGGAGGTTTTACCTTGTTTGGTCCGCATTTGGTTCCTTTTGGCACCATGTCGATGTTTCTGGTCTTATCGTCATCCACTGCTAGTTTACATTCTAAGCCGAACAAGCGGAAGTCTGCCCTTTTACCTGAGATAGACTCGCCTCCTCCTTCACAAAACATAGACCCACACTTCAGATTCCTATAAAAAAAAAAAAAAAAAAGAGCTTGTTGACAGATTACAACATTGCACAAACTAGCCTCAAACAGTCAAAATGCCAGATGTCTTCAGTACTTTTCAGTTACATTCTGTGTGCTAGGTTTCCTTCAGGGGCATGTTGAGATCAAATCAAAAAGTAAACCGCACTGTGCTTTCAGCAGAAAGTTCAGTATAAATGTTGAGCATACGTACGGTGCAGTGCAGGGGATGTAGCTGAATTTGTCCCTTCCACAGTTTGCACCTTCTTCGCCCCGTTTGTTCAGATTAAAACACACATCTGATCCAACTCTGGTCCCTGAAGATAGAAGATATTCTAGTTAGCATTTTAAAGTACTGTATGGAAGCCATCAAAAAGAGATTCAAAGAGATTATAAAAATGAATCGAAAGTATGAAATATCCTAATCTCCAAAATTGAAGTTTAATTTATTAACTTTCTATCTGTCTTTTACACTTATATCTTTACCCACAATGTTGCCTTACTTTAAATAGGTCACAGCTGTAATTTCCTTAAAACGTTCAGACATTGTAAAATAAGAAGATTTTAGGGGATCATTTTAGGGCTTAAAAGGGACTTATGTTCATTTTCAGGTTCATATTTGTATTTAGTGTCTCTACTGTGACATGTTTAATGTTCCATACATGCTTTATTTGTCTCATACTGCCTGTGCTGCAGCACCTCTTTTCACCCTCTGTCTGAAACCAGAGCCCAGTCTGCTCTGATTGGTTAGCTGGCTGGCTCTGTTGTGATTGGTCAACCGCTAAGAGATGTCCTGCCCTTTTGCCTATTAGAACAATGTGTTGGGGCACTAGCCAATAGCAGCGCAAGTGTTACATAGTGATGTCACCATGTTATGGAAGTAAACAAAAGAGTCCAATATAAAATGTCTTAGCAGACCAATTACATGCACACAAACCTACATAACACACTACAGGCAAGGGGAAACTCCAAAAGGCATAATAAGGCCTTATTCAGAGTTGGAGTGTTATATAATGTTGGGATATCACGGAAGATGGACATTTTAAAAACATACTTATGTAGATGCGTGAACATTTTTTTATTCTATGAGAGAGTAATATTCATTAAATTCCCTGTAGTCCTTTTATTTAAAACAAATGCACACTCTTAAAGTAACCTAAGGTACTTCTGTGAAAATCATATTAATATTAACTTATGCCCCTTGAGGCGTAGCTTTTTTATACAAGAAAAACTGAAAGCAGTGAAACCTGTGTTTTTGTGGGGAGCATACCTGGTCCAAACAGCCTCCAGCAGTGCTGCTGATGTGTGGGGCATTGTCCATTGGAGCAGTAGCCCTGCGCCCGGTCGTAGCACGGCTCGCCGTTCATCTCAAAGCTGTCTTCAGGACACTGCTCTGACTCTCCAGTGCAGTATTCAGGCAAGTCACAGTCACTGGCTGACTTTCTGCATACACCTCCTGCCGGTTTGAGCTGTGGGTTTAAGTTAGTGTTAGGGGATTTATTAAGCATAAAGGGGAATTTCAATCAATCACATTTTATTTATATAGCCCAAGACTTCCACCACCTCTTCCAGTCTTTGAAACTGTCTTTAGAGAGGAAGGATGTGGTGTGTCAAAGCACATGGGCACAGCAGGATATCACCCTCTGTTTCCTGTTATTATCGTACTAATGCTGTCCTGGTGCTATTGTGATGCCCACAGTTATTAGTCAGAAGCAGGGTGTGTCTGTATGATTGGTCTTTTGGTAGAGTGCATTCAATGTCCACTGATGGTGGAGATGATCTGGCTTTCACAGTGTAGAGGTTTCTTTTAGCCTTTCTGCCGGTAATGTTGTTTGAGTTTCAGTCCGTCAGAAAAATATCACTCATCACTGGCTTGAGCTTCAATATCAGAATGCATGTATTTATTATCCTCTCAAGAATGGAAGTAGTCATCACATACAGAGTATTTGGTACAACTAGTTCCTGAACAGTGTCCTTCACATTCTTATACAAGAGAGGGTTACAGTCACAAGAGGCAGGAATACCGGTTCAAAGCAGAATTCAATGTTTAGTTTGGATTAGCTAAGACCCACGTCAGAAAGGATCATGCTTGTCATATCTCTATCTCCATAGTGGCTGAATCATCATGTTAATCGTTGTCACATAGCTATCATATGCTATATGTTACGTACACAGCTGCAGATGGGCCTCTGTTATCATGTGCTACTCTGATATTGAAGGAGTTCATTCAGTATTTTCCCAACAGTGTACTAAAAACGTTTTGATGAAGTGCTATGAAATGTATAACTGACATTCATATATAAACTAAAATTGTTAATCCTCTGACTCCTCTCTAAGTGCAAACGGCAACAGTGTGAATACATAAACATCTGTTAGATGGACTGGCAATACAAATAGTTTACACATTCGTTATCCCCAGGTGATGGACCCTAATGAGTTTGGTGATCCTCTGCCATTTCCTGTAGTGCCTCCTTGAGGTTAACATTTTGGATCCTATTTGGGTGATCCCAAGACTTTTTCAAAATTGTAATTTGTCCAAGACTATGGTTTGACAACAAATATATATTTAAAACAAAAAATAACTTCCCATCAGTGTATTGCTACTAAGCACATATTAGCATTCTAACACAATTAATATGGTAAAGTTGAACCTGTGTACAGGGGGGACTGGGACTAAAAATCCGACCGGGAAACTCGACCGGCCGACCGAACTCGGTACCGCTAGTCAATTGTCAACGGGGGTGGGGGGCCCACTTCGGTACCGGCCCGGTAACTCCCGGTATTCCCAATGGCCAGTCCGCCCCTGCCTGTGTATCATCAGGAGCATGTTAGCATGCTGATGTTAGCATTTAGCTCAGACTACAGCTGTAAAGCATCCCAGTGCTTGGCAACATATTCTCTTGTAAAATGGGCCTCAGGTTGAATTTCACATAGCAACTGTGATTACGCAGTTGTTTTAATCTAAAGTACCTGGCAGTTGTTACAGCATTCTCCCTGAGCACACTGGAATCCTTCAGTCAGACGACAAGTCGAGGCATCACAACAAGGGTTCTGACATTCCTGGAATAAAGACAATCTTTTTCACTGATCATGTTTGTTTAAACAACAGGAATTACAATCATGAAAGTTTAAACAGATCAGATTTATATCTTCAACACAAGCAGTTTATTTGCCAAGGGTAGTGTCTCTGATGTAAGCAAACAGGAAAACTATTTTCATTTTTTAGGCCAAACTCCAGCTTGGGATGCTATGAATCACCACTGCCTTCCCTTTTATTAGCTGTAGACTGGCAAGCAGGAAACCACACCAGTCAGCTAAAACAGAAACCCCAAAGGGTGCTTCCTTCACCAAAGGTTATATTTAAACTTTCCAAGGTTTCAAAAATGACTGTTCCAACCAGTGCCATTATCCTCAGACACTGCTGAAAGATTTACCTCCACAGGGCCGCAGTCACACTCCTCTCCGGGGTCCAGGAGGTTGTTGCCGCAGCTAGGACCTGCAGCGATGTTCGTAATGGAGCTGGGTCTGGACAAGCAGCTGGGCTGCGCCCGCGCCATGAACTCGGCTAGTTGCTCCACACTGCAGCCGCTGAAAAACTCTGGGAATGCTTGATTTCCTGTCCTGAAGAAGAGTAAATAGATTCAGCTTTGCCTACAATAAAATGCATTTTTTATTAACAGTAAATATACTTAATGGCCAAAAGCATGTGGACTCCAGAAGACAGTGATTGCTTAATTGTTTATTCACAGTGATTTTTATTTATTTTAATGCATAAGTTGCAGCATGATGGACTTAAAGGTCCACTTGCAGTCACATCCTTACCTGAGTTTTTCTGCCATCACACAGTTCCCACTGCTGTACGATGGACCACACATACAGCCTTCAGCATCATGTGACAAGCCAAAGTTATGTCCCATCTCATGAGCGATGGTAGAGGCAAGGCCTATTGGGTTGCCATGGTGATCCTGGATAAGAAAAGCAGAGCTGTTGCTTTAAATTCAGATGGATGGTTCATAAATTATTAAAAACACTCCCTTCTGCTCCAGTCGTTAAATTATAATTGTAAGTAATGGTTCATAATTTATACCTGATTGACTCCACCTGAGTTTTCGGTACACATGGCAAACTTATTTGCCAGTCCAACTGTGTCTCCGTCAAAATCTTTGCCACTGTTCAGAGAAAAAAGCCAAACATCAGGTAAAAACGATAACATCACTGTGTTTAACATCTGCACAGAAATAACGGACTGATCCTCACGTCACAAATTGGGAATTGTCGTGCTTGATCCTCTTCAGAAGATCGGCCTGCCGCCACAGGAGGAAATGGTCCAGGGTGGTCTCTGAATTAGTGTCAACATCCATGTAGTCTCTGTACGTCCAAATCTCCAAGCCCACCAGCATGACGCGAATGTTCAGAGCTCGATACAGCTGCAGGCAGAGGAATCAACGTTAGTCAGGAGTGAATGAGCTGAGAGCTGCTGGCTAAGAGCCCTGATAGAACGGCCCTTGGCAAACAGGTTCCAAACTAGAAATTACCTTATCAACGTGATTTATAGCTCCGAGGACCCGGGACTTAGTCTCGCTTCCATATAGCTTATACTAGAGGAAGAGAAGAGACGAACATGATCAGGTTCATATATCCAGCCATGCATTCATTCTCTGCCGTTAAGGTAGTCCTTAAGGCATCCTTCTCCCCAGCAACATTTCCAACTCCTGCAAAGGAATTCCGAGGCCAGATGGGATAAAGAATATACCCAGTCTTTTCTAGGTCCACCCGAACTCTTACCAGTTGGACGTACTTGCAAAACCTCCAAATGGATGCACCCAAGAAGCAACCAGAAAAAGTCCTAGAACTTCTTCTAATGCCCCCTTTTGGCTACACTTTAGGCACCTTCCCGATGTCTGTGTGTGCTCCTCTCCCTATTTCCCAGTCATTCAAAAGAGGAAATTCATTTTGGCCACCATTCTTTAAAAAAGCCTCGTTCGTTGCACATGCGAGCGCATAAGTTAGTCAGAACATTTTACAGAGACTCTACAGTAGGTAGTATCTTTTTATGATCCCATCAGGAGACACAGAGGCGCCGGATACTCTGAACTTATCTCAGGGCATTGGCACAAACAAAGACTTCCTCTCAGTAACTGAGAATAGAGGCGACTCTCTGCTTCTTCAGTGAACACTCCAACACAGCAGCGCTCATGAGCTTGGAATCAAACACCCAATAGCTCTCAACCTGGGCGACTCTTGGATTAGGGTTACAGACCCAGTGGATTGTGTAGAGGTGAACCCAACTATATAGAGTTGGTATCCTTTATCCTTTCCATCTCTTTGTTCTTCTACGCAAGAGAAGTGACGTTCCCACTCCTTAGAAACAATTTGTGATGCCAGGAATCAGCACATTTAGGTCGCGGACTTTGTCTGCTGACCATCACCAATGGCCATTGCGCGTGGGCATGCATGGGGGCAATTCCGTAAAGCTATTTCGGCAAGTCCCCTATCTCTAGGCCCAAGGACCAACTTCATTACATGGAAGTTGTAAAAGAATAAAATTAAGGTATTTACCTCAGTATTGTCCACCACCACAAACAGCTCAACGAACTTCTGTGGACCTGAAACGGGTTTGGTTTTCTGAAGACAAGAAGGAAACAGAAATACAGCTTTTATATTTATATTCTTATTTGAAAGAATAAACCATACATTTATTTATGGTTTACTATGAAATCATACCCATGTCACCTACCCATGATCTGGATTTGAAGAGGCTGGAGAGCCGCGGGTCCTGGGCCTGGTCCTGGTCGTACAGCGGGGGGGTTTTGGACGAGGAGTTGATGGTCTTCAAGTCCTCCGGTCTGTACACTGCATGGCCCCCATTATCAGACTGTCCCAGAGGCTCTATCAGGTACACCTGCTGCTGGGCTCTCACATAGCCACTGCAAACACAGACAACTGTGGTTTAAGAAAGTCCTCCGAAAGACATTTCAAAACACAATGAAAAGATAAAAAATGTACTAAAAAAACTGTTATAGTGCAGGGAGGGTGAAGTAATACGATATGGTTACCTCATTTCAATAGTGAAGCAACATTTCACAAGAACACATGGTTTTAGAAACTGCTATTGGAGAAATGTTGAGTGGAATATTACAAATAGGAAGTTTAAAGCTGTAAAAATATCCAGATGTTCTTACCTAATGCCTGAGCAAATCCCAACACTGACTGAAGAGTCCTCCATGCCTTCAATGTGACCCTGATAGTAGCAGTGCTCCTGGACAGGAATACATTCATCAGATTAAAGATATCAGTGAGTAAAAGGACTCACAAAGCGCTTCTTTGTTTCTAATGACCATGAAATTGTGAATCACAGGTATGGAATTGTAGATCTCTATCGTGTTGGGTTCACGTAGAGTCCAAAGTACTGGTAAGGTGAAATGAGAAGTTCCACATGAACTATTAAGGTAAAGTATACACATGTTTAGATAATGATGTAGTATTTAGGTTAAATAATAGATTGTGAAAGCTAACTCACCTCATTAGGTGATGTTGTAACCCGTTTCCCATCTTCTAAATAGTGTGTCTCAGTGTAGCCTTTCCCAATGAGATTCCTAAAATAAATAATCATTACAAAAATTGACATACATGTTTAAAAGTGATTCAAAAGAAAAAATGTGATCAACAAAAAATGGTTTACCTGTTTTTTTCCAGATTCATTGTGTGGTTCCTCCCTTCAATGGCTAACTGGTATTGAATCGTGTCAGGATAAAGCTGTGGAAAAATGTCCGTCAGTCATACAACAACTATAAATAACTAACAATTACACTCATTAAATATAGTGGAAGCACTCACATCATTCATTTGTGTAAAATTAGCAATGCCACAGTAATAAAAACAATTTCTGCTACAGGTAAATGTGAATTATTGGTGGAATAATATTGTATTTTTTCATATAATAGCCTATTATTGGATTACTGTTAGTGATGCACAAAAGTGTCCCCATGACCAATTGTGATAAATGAATGTAAATATTGATCTACACGGAGAGTGCTTTTTCTCTGACATGCGGCTACAGATCAAAGGCACATCTAATCCACTCAAATGAGCTCTTACTCGGAAATTAGATTGTTATTATTTATTTATTTGAAGTTTTATTTAATGGCAACAGTGAGGCTATAGGACACAGTTTAAATATTAATGATATTTTTAGATGCAAAGTGTAGTAACTGGAACCCTTTGAATTCAAACTGAACAGCCCTGTCATAGCTAGAGAGGAAGATGAACCTAACTTTAGCGAGTTTACTTGATATGCTGTTGGTAGTTTCATCTATAACACAGTGGTGCAAAGTAGATAGAAACATTAGATTTTTTACTGCACAATATTTATTTGACAATTGTGTTTACTTTGAATATAATGTATTCTTACAAAATAAGTGATCAGGTCATATAATATAACGCACTGTTTTAGATCACACTATCCAACATATAGAGTAGTAAAGAGGAACTCCTAAATACTACCGGCTACAGCAGCAATCCTGCATGCACAGTAATTCATCAGTAGTACTACATTGTAATAATAATATGTATTAATAAAGACAAACAGGAATGATCTTTAGGGAGTTTTTTTTTAGGTGAGGCAGGAGGGGTCACCTGGTTGTCCTGCAGGCTCCTCTTCTGTCTGCCCGGGAGTCTCCGAGGTGTGACCACCTCATATCTCTCTACATGAGACAACATCGCAGAGCTCTGCACGAGACACACTACACACACAAGTAACATTATTACTCATATAAAGCCAAAATATCTGAACTTTAAACTGCACTTTAATCTGTTTCACAGACTTCTAAGAGTAATCCTAGAAATCTGTAAAAGTACATAATATGAGTTGATTGATATTCCCTCTTTCTTGTTGTGGACTGTAAGTAAATTAATTTACTTAAAAACGTAGTTATTTGTACTTTAGTCTTACAAATATCTACTCCACTATATAACAGAGTATTGCACTATTTACTTATTTGACAACAAAAATATGATCTTTGTAATTTACCAAACTAGCAGTTTATACAAGTACAGTTCAAACTATTAGGTAATTAGTCTATTGACAGAAAAATCGTCAAAAAACCGTACAGTGTCCAAGCTGCACCAACAAAGAGCTGCTGCTTTCCTTTTCATTATTTTAATCAAGTTAACACATTAGTAATAGTTTTTAGTTTTGAGCATCGTGAAGGTAACTTTAGGGTATGGGTAATTGTGAGGACCTTACTTGCTTTTTACAGTATTTTTAGACCTACAGACTAAGCAAGCAATTAATAGTCATTAGATCAATCAACAATAGAAATAATAAGGTAATAGTTCAAAATGAGCTCCCTCTTAACTGCAACTGTAAAATGCTACTTTTACATGATGCATTAGTAATAACAATAATAATTAAGTTCTATAATATAATATAGGCTACTATAATAGTAAAGGGAACATGTTTTTACTTTTAACATTTACAGTTACACTTACATACTTTTTTAGAAAAGAAGCATTTGTTGGAGATTACTTTTACATGTGAAAGAGTATTTTCTAAAGTTTTATAGAAGTAATTTTACCTTTTTAAATAAAAGAACTGAATACTTCCTCCACTATTGCGGACAGCACATTAACAGCTTTTTATCCAAACTCTCTTAAACTTTGTTATATTTAAGCAGGACAATAGCAGTATGAGAACCTACCCCATATCAGCCACAGTGAGACCATGTTCGTCCCCATGATGGTGCACTCTGCTCAGTCACTGGCTCTCCTCTCGCCGTGAACATTACCACACGGTGAATCATCGACACCAGCAGCCTTCCGTAGAAGTCCCGCCTCCGGTGACTCCTTCTTATCGCCGCCTCGCAGATTACCGGAATAAAACCGTCAAGCATGCTGATAAGAAACAACACCCAAACTACTTCCGGTGGAGTGAAATATTTCAAAAATAAAAGCACTTTACTGATACTCAACATAAGCACACGGTAGTATGTGAGTTAATGTAGATAGCTAACAATAACTTTAAATGCAACTCTTAAGGTACATTGTATTTTTGGAGTGCGAATTCTTAATATGTAACTATTAATTAATGGAAAGCAAAAGGCTAAAAGGACCGGCAGCGGTAACGATGCTGAGTAGTTGGCAGCCATTGACACCTTCTGAGTCACAATAACTCTATTTATGGAAAGAAAAAAATATGTTTTTGGTTTTAATGTAAGGTATAATGATACATGTTTCAAATGTATAAATCAGCCATACTGTGGTCTTGTAGGGTTATTATCGTCTTTAGCGCTGTACTACTGTGTTTAAAGTATATAAATACAGTTTATATAGTACAACATGAAAATAAATCATTATGGTGGGATTTACAGTGTTAGGCAGATGTTAAGAGTCTACATTTATTCAGTAAAGCCTTGTTTTATTGAATACAAACATACTTTTTTATTTTAAAGGTACAATGAGTTACCCATTAAGAGTGACATTTCGGTACAGTTTCAACATTTCTTAAAATGTACAATTTGAAGCATTGAAATGAGGATGCAAGCCTTAGAATGTAACGCTACATTTTCTTCAGTACATAATATATAATATACACACTGAAGCATCAGTTATTTTGCCTTTATGGTAACTATCTGCATTGGCAGGGAGTGGTGGACACACATGAGGAAAGGCCGTTTATATTGCTGCTTGTTACAAAGTCATCACATGCTACGCTGAAGCTTTCTGGCTCCGCTCTATGGCCATCTTCTCCAGCCGCTCGGTGTAGAACCCATTGAAATCCAGCCTGTGAAATCATAGGAGCTGAGTTAGCAAAGTATTTAGCAAAAACATGCCTTTTGTAATGGATAATCTGCAGTAGCTCAGTCTATACGAAATAATGTTCATACTTAAATTAATGGTACAGCTCTGTATGAGGTATTGTAGGTTAAAAAAAGTCTGAGGAGTGGGGCAATATTTACAAAAAAACTAAATTAAAACATTTTTAATTTCGGAGAAAACAACTTGGATATTCTGTGATATTAAAGTGGCAAATTTACGACGAAAATACAATATTCTGTTAGATTATTAAGTCATTAACACTGGATACTAAACTAGTACAGTACACAGAAACATTTTTTTAACATACAATGCCCCTAATATGTTGTCGTAGCGTAAAAAAACAAAAACGTTTTGAAGGCGAGACAATAAAAGGCAAACACTGGTTCGCTTTGGAAAAGGTAGTGGCCTTATCAAGTATTATAAACACATTATATCGTGCAAAAATACATTTAGTTGAAACTGTACGTACCTGTAGATGATGCTGATCATGCTGTGCTCGCAGTCGTTGGTGCTGTAGATGCTCAGCTTGTCCAGCAGGTCCAGCAGCAGCGTGCTGAAGTTGCTGTCAAACTTGCTGATGCTGGTTTCAAAGCCTGCGTCTGACTGGAGGGTGTCTGCATGCTCAGATAATAACTGAAGCAGGGAGAGAACACAACCGTTTAACTCAGAAGCTGCAGATCTTTGTACACCAGTCATTTAATATTGTCTGGTTTGGATGGAACATTTCTGATATTTTTGCGTCATGTTTTTGATGATCTATTGGAAATACCTTTGTGTTCAGCCTCTTCTTCTCTGCCTCCTCAGCATGTTCCCTCTCAGTGGGAGGCCCATCCATAGTCCCCTGCTCCTTAGAGAGGCGCTCCAACCTCTTGCTCTGAGTGAACCGCTTTAAAATACAAAAGGAAAAAACATCTTAGTAACAGGATCTGCCCCTCATTGTTGTATTTTCCAGGAGCAGAAAGAAGACACTGTATTCAGAAATATGTTCTCTTTATCCTCCTGTTAACAAACCTGCATGCAGCTTGTGAACATGACGCAGACGGACATGAGTTTGGAGAAGATCCTCAGGAGCTCGGGGTTAGTCAGCATGCAGTCTTTCAGGCAGTTATCCAAGAAGCTGGTGTGATGGCAGAGCACGTCATCGATGTTTGACGCCTTCAGAAGACAGGAGGTTAGAACAAAACAAAATGCTAGCTGTTAGCTAACCATCAGCTGGCTGTCAGCTAACTGTGATGTTGTTAGACAAAAAAACATTGACAGTAGGATAACAGTGAGGACCTGGTTTCACTCACTGTTTTCAGGTTGTTCTCCATGATGTGCCAGGTGGGCTCCATCACCTCAAACATCATGTAGTACTGGATGTTCTGCACAAAGTTGAGCATGCGCTGTCGCAGGGCAAAGGCAGCAGCAAACCTGCAGAATGAACAGTGTGAGGACATTTTTCTGGTAGAGATTTTTACTTAAATTCACTTTATATCAACTCACCATTTGGCACAATGTGAAGAGTACAGCTTGAAATCTTTGTTGCAGATCCACACGTTGCACAGCAGCCTCTCGACGTGTTTGCAGTAAAAAATGTGTCTGAACAACATCTGGTACCTTGTCAGGGCTTTCCTGGAAAATACATACAAGTACAAATGGTGTTTAATTGCATATATGCTTCCAGGGACACATTCCTGTCAATCTGGGATACTGGAAAAACAAAGAAGAATTCCATATATGTCTACTTAATTTTTGTTAAGTATCTATTTTTGATATTAGATCAATTCAGTAGTTGAGTACCTGTTGATGATGAGTGACAGGGGCCACTTGACGATGTAGTCGAAGGAGAAGGCCTCAAGGCCGCTGAGGCCCACCTCGGTGGGCTCTGCATTGATGATGGCCTTCTCCTGTTTGGTCTCAATGGCCAGCACCCGCAGCAGCTGAGTGATGACGTCATGAGGCATGAGGTCAATCTGTGGAGAGAAGAGAGGAAGTTTAACATTATGAAGTGTGAAGAAGCTCATAAATCATGGGATCAGTGTGCAGGTGAAGAGAACTAACTACATTAGTGACGGTATAATGAAGGAATGGATAGATTGCCAAGTTATGTTTCCAGCTATTCCTATAGCTTATCATTTTCTTTCCATTTGTCGAGGGTTTTCAAGACAGTTGTGGCTAATAAAGTGTATTTGAGCCGCTTTCTGAATTACATTTAACAAACAAATGAAATATGTGTTTATTGTTGAATCATTAAATGAGAAGGACCATGGGGCGCAGAGAGTTGTCCAGTTGAGGCTGCAACCAGTCTGGTTGCAATGATACAGAATAATATCGGGCTATGTGTATTCATTTCTCCTCTGTTATTGTTTGGCAGTGCTGAATTGGCACTTGTACAAGTCTTTGGGGCAATTCTTCTGCCTATCCTCTACTGAGATGAAATGTACATTATTTGTATTGTGGTTGTGGTGTTTGCTTGCCCCCCGATATTGGCCTGTCAACATTGCAATACTGATTTTACTGCATAAAACCATAGTACATGTTTTTTACCTAGCGCAAGAAAACAGCAAGGTATCACCTAAATTACTGAAAGTTCTTTAATTACAGAGCATCCGGAAAGTATTCATACTCCTTCACTTTTTGTTATGATACAGCCTTATTTCAATTTGGATTAAATTCATTTGTTTTCTCAACATTCTACACGCAATACCCCATAATGACAAAGTGAAAAAGGTTTTAAATAATTTTTGCAAATGATTTCAAAATAAAAACTCAAATATCACATGTGCATAAGTATTCACACCCTTTACTCAATACTTTGTTGAAGCATCTTTGGCAGCAATTACAGCGTGTGTGTGTGTGTGTGTGTGTGTGTGTGTGTGTGTGTGTGTGTGT